GCTAAGTCTTTTTCTTTCTTCTTTGTAGAGGATGAGCCATCTTGAGGTGTGATGTGCATGTACATCTCATGAGCATTGATCTTTCCCAATATTTGTGTCGGTGTAGCGATGGAAAGATCACCTTGATGTAGCACGGTCACAATATGCCCATATTTGTCAATGAGGAGGACACTCAAGATCTTTCTTACAACATCGGATGGTTGCATTTGAGTGAGTCCAAGCCCATTAACTTTCTCTATAAGAACATTCAAACGTGAATACATCTCATTAGCACATTCTTTAGGAAGCATTTCAAAAGAGTTGAGCTTTTTTATGATAAGATGATAGCGTTCCTCACGCTCACTCTTTGTTCTCTCATGGAGCACATAAACGTCCGACCATAGTGCATGTGCGTCTTTGTGGTTCCTCACCCGGTTGAACACATCTTTACAAAGGCCTCTAAATATGGTGTTTCTAGCCTTTGCATTCCATTTTTTGTAATTCAACTCATCGCCTTGTGGGTGTGCGGCATCCTTGGGTCTTGGGAAGCCTTGAGAGGCGGCTCTAAGTATTCCAACATCTAGAGCTTCTAAGTATGCCTCCATATGAATTTTCCAATAAGGAAAATCGTCCCCCTCAAAGATAGGAGGAGGTCCATCCCCGTGAGACATCTTTCAATAGGCGGTTAAGCCTAAATATGTGAGCACGAGGCTCTGATACCAATTGAAAGGATCAAGATGCCCAAGAAGGGGGTGAATTGGACAAATTCTAAATTTCTTTGCAATAAACAAGTCCTACGGTTAGCCCAATTAACCCCTTGTGCCTAGAAAGTGTTTCTATTTAACTAATGCACAAAAGTTTAGCAACCTAAGTTCTAAGCCTACTCTAGCATGGCAATTCTATGAATGTAAATGACAAGAATTGAATTTCTCAAAGTAAATGCTCAAAGTAAAGAGAGGAGAGGAAACGCGGTGATGTTTTGCCGAGGTATCGGAGAGTCGCCACTCTCCACTAGTCCTCGTTGGAGCACCTGCGTAAGGGTGTAGCTCCCCCTTGATCCACGCAAGGATTAAGTGCTTTCTACGGGTTGATTCTTCGACACTCCGTCACGGTGAATCACCCACAACCGCTCACAACTTGAGTTGGGTCATCCACAAGCTCTTCGGATGATCACCAAGCTCCCAATCACCACCAAGCCGTCTAGGTGATGGCGATCACCAAGAGTAACAAGCACGAACTCTCACTTGACCACGACAAGCCTAATGAGAAGGGTGGATGCACACTTTGCTACTCTTGATCTCACTAATGAGGGCTCTCTTTAGGATTCTCAAATCTCAATCACCTCACTAGGACCTTGCTCTTCTTGGCACTCTATAAGGTGTTTCTCAGCTGTTGGAATGAGCAAAAGTACCCCCACACACGAGTGGAGGTGGTATTTATAACATGGGTTGAAAAACGAACCGTTATGTGCCTCTGTGGGGTGACCAGATGCTCCGGTCATGTTGACCGGACGCATCGGTCAATACACCCCGAACTCCAGTGTTTACAGTGTGACCGGACGTGTCCAGTCATGATTTTCCCTCTCTAGAACCTTATTGGAGTCGACCGGGTGCAGGCTCTCAGTGTCTGGTCACTTCATCTCTCAGCGTCCGGTCGCACCGAACGTTAACACCTTGGTCAAATGAACTGACCGGACCCTGAGCCAGCGTCCAGTCAAACCGAAGCCAGCGTCCGGTCAGTATTTGAGCCTCCATTCACTTTCAACTCTCGATCATATGTGAATGAAGTTTGCTCCATTAGATCTAACAGCTATTAAGGATCTACCTAGTGCTAGTTTTAACAAGTGTGCACCACACCTAACTCACTAGACTCACCTAGGTCAAGCTACCCATCCATACCCCCCTTAATAGTACGGCCAAAGGAAAAACAAAGTCCTAAACTACTCTAAGTGTCTCTCCAACTCCAAACGACACTTAGAACTAGTCCATCCTTAACCTTGTCGTCCATCCTTTGAAAACCCAAACGATTTCCATCGTAGGGGCATGACCACCTTGATTGCCCAATCGATCTCCATTATCATGACCTAACTTAATTGCCTCTGCAAAACACACGTTAGTCATAGTAATCACGTATTGTCATTAATCACCGAAACCCAACTAGGGGCTTAGATGCTTTCAGCGGGTGGGCGAAGACTCGCAGTCATCCTCATCATCAGAGGACAATTGATGGTCAAGCTTAATGAAGCGCTTGCGCCAGGCCACTTGAGAGCCCTTGTTTTGACCAAGTTTCGGCCTGTCTTCTGCTACGGGGTACACAATGGGTATCTTGTTATACTTCTTATCAAGTATTCTGTCAATGGTGACGCGAGCGTACCCCAGTGGAATTGGGCGGCCATTAATTGTCATGTCTCCTGTAGGCCAGGCCTGGTCGAGCGCCACATTGTCCTTTGTCCATTCCTGACGGATGTACAACCTGACATTGACGGGTTCAGTGATGTCGTCCACCGGATGAGGCACATTCGCCTCTTCTTCGTCGAGCGGGGTCGATCCGCAGCTGCTGCAACCCCTAAATTGTGGGCTAAAGGCACTAGGAGTAGGGTTTTGTGGTACTACTGACCCCTTGGACAGCAAAATTTGCTCGACTCGTGCTTCAATGGTCGCCTCAATCCGTGCTTCCATTCTGTCTTCCATCTCTTTTAGTCTCCTCAAATACTCTGCCTCATGTTCCACTCTATCCCTCAAGCGGCTCCGGTAAGTGTTAGATTCTTGGGGGAATGCTAGTTTCCAAGGAACAACACCGGTTCCTCTAGTGCGACCAGGGTGCTCCTTGGTTCCGAGTGCTTGGGTGAGCACGTCTTTCTCCCTATTAGAAGTGCAAGTCCCTTGCCTCACCTCCTCGGTTACCTAAGAGATCCTCTGGATGAGTTCGCTCATGGGTTGATTTGAAGAGCTAAAGCTCCCGTCCTCGGCGTGCCGTACATTTCTCCCCATACAGTATAATACCGATCTAGGCTCCCAATCGGCGGTCTCAACCTGAACGCCTTCTTTAGCAAGGCGATCCATCTTTTGAAGTTCTGCTTCAAATTCTGGTATCTTTTTGGCGTAGCCACGAGAGCCGAGATGATGAGGATTAGTCGCTTTCTGCGAATTCTCCTTATTCTTCCTGCTCAGTTCTAAGTACTCCTCGGATAACCTGTATTCCTTGAAATCCTGCCAGAAGTCCTTCTGCTTGCTAAACTATCCACATCGAAATCGGGCTCTTTATTTTGGAGGACAAAATTCTTGTACAATGTCCCCTTAAAATTCTTGAAGCATGTCCCCATAATTTCTTTTGCTTTTTTTTTGACTAACTCCCTGTCATACTCGGCTGAAAAAGTGAAATACTCTGGGATCTTGACATCCCATATGTAATTTTTCTCGCTTTCGAGAACCCTCCACCGGTCATCATCTTTCCCAATCCATTTCCTGTACTTAATCGGGATAAAGTCCCTAACAAGTAACCCGAGGATAGTCTTGTATTTGGTCAAAGCCACAGGCGGTGAGAGCGGATCCCCGAATTCATCGAACTCAGTAATGGGCCAGTGTGCATTCCTACCAACATGAATCTTTGACACGCCTCGCTTGGATCTGGCCTTCCTGCTACCCGAACCCTCTGGCTCCTCGGCCGGAGGAGGCACCTGCTAGAGACACCATATTTTTCAATTCCATCGCTCTTTTATAGTAGAAGATAGATAGATTAGGTTTTGTTCAAATTATATATGATGAGTTCTCGTTCAAAATTATATTTATATATATATATATGATCAGTTAATGTATTTATTCCATTCCAATATATTGCGAAATAAAACATCGATTTGATCAAATAATAATTAGTCAATTCCAATTTCCAAGATATATATATTGTGGAAGAAAACGTCGATTAAATCAATTTGGACGACGACCATTTCAAATTATCAATGAACAAAGTGTTGCATGTACTCCAACTGGTATAACTTAATCGATACACGAGGTCAAGATACTGTAGAATACCCACACAGAATAACACTGGATCCAAGAAGAGTGAAAGTCGCTAATTACTGCTGGATCACATGAATTACCAGTTCTGTATAGTACTATATAATGAACAAAACCTTACCTAACAAGCAGCCAGTGTGTGCGTGCATGTCCACCACCGCTTATTACACCAATAACAAAGTGACCACATGCATGTTAGCTGCAATAAACAGCTAGCTTGTACCTGTGGGAAGCAAAGCACATTCTTGTACCTTGGTTTACTCGTCCATTTTCAGATAGTGCTCAGTGTACACATGTTCTTGAATGCTTTCGTCTATACACTTGGCAAAAATATTGCTTGGATATATACAACCCGGCCCCAAAAGCGCGTGATCCAATGAAAGCATTTTTTTAAACAAGTCTTGCTTGTTGGACTAACTACTAGTACTGTTCCTCAAAGTAAGGAGGCGTTTGGATGGACTAAACTAAACTTTAGTCCATGTTTTGGATGTCAAATAGAAAACCTAAACATGAACTAATCATGGTTTTAAAAAATTAATAGAGACCAAATGATGAGTAGAACTCGTTAGGAAAAAAAAGAAATTTTTAATCAGTCCATGTTAAGCTTATTGTCTAACGACGGACTAAAAACTTTAGTCTGCATGGTGAGTCCTAAAACCAGTTGATCGATCGAGTATTGCTTCAAATAGTAAGTCTCTAGCTGCTGCGACATATAATTCTTCAGATCAGTCGCCAACAGCAGTTTTTCACTTCATGTCGCCAGATCATTCACTACTCATGCCTGTAGGTCTTAAACTTCATGAACCAATATTATGTGGAATAATCCACACCTAAATATTCATTCAACAAAAGCTAAAAACACCACATAATCCCTACACCTACTGACCTACATTACATGATTAACAGTTTCACCACGACAACCATCACACAAGAATGCATGGTTACACGCTACACAGCACATAATTAACCTTACTCCCTTGACCTTCACATACACAGGACAGTCAGTCCTCACGGATGGCCACCACTGCTTCCGGTGCCGCCACCGCCGCCGCCTCCATAACCTCCCTGGCCAGAGCCAGCTCCACTCCCTCCACCGGTCCCTGTTCCACCGCTTGCATCTCCAGAGCCATGGGCGCTACCTACAGCACTGCCGGCACGTCCAACGCCAGTGCCGCTGCCGGAACCGCCAACGCCCACGTCTGCGTCACCGCCATGGGTGACGGTCACGCCGTCGGGGCCGAAGTGGATTCCGATGCCTTCTCCACCGCCAGCGCCGACACTCGCGCTGCCGTTGCCGGTACTGACGGCGCCGCCTCCGGCGACACCGATCGCCACGTCCACTCCACCCTTGCCGATGCTGATGTCGACCCCAAGACCAGCTCCGCCGCCCGCGCTCGAGCCGCCGGAGCTGTTTGTGCCGATGCCGCCGCCGACACCGCCGCCGAATCCGATGTTGGTGTCCGTCCCGTTGTGTGAGATGGTCCAGCCGAACCCGTGGCCGCTCCCTGAGCCATGGCTGCTGCTAGACTTCTTCCATGGTAACAGTGGCCAGGAGAGCTTGCTGCTGCCATTGTTGATCATGGCGCTAGAGCTTGTGCTGCCATACTTGCGAGGGAAATGTCTTGCGCTGGCAGAGAGAGGGAGATGAGTAGTAGACAAGCATACAAGTGCGAGGAAGAGGAAGGAACTGGCACTGCCGGTAGTGGAGACATCCATTTGTTTCTCACTTTCTTGTGTTGTTATGAAGGGTCTGAATGAACACGTACGCTACTGGTGTTTATGTAGTGGGTTGGTCACAATAGAATACTCCTACATTGGTTGTTAGGCCCAAATCTAGAGGCAAGATAAGGTAGCTACTAGGTTTCTGGATCAGCTTGCTTGTGGAGGATGCATGAACCCTAATTATACGGCCTGTTTACATAGCGTACGTTGACCACTCATTTATGTGTTGTTAGTGAAATGTGGACAGATTTAAGTTCAGCGCATGGTCATTTCAGAGAATAAATAACTCTTAGATTAGTATAGATTAATTAGTTTTAGTTTGATCTCCATACCAAATAGCTATAATATAGCTCCTCTGTGGATGGCATGTTCATACTCCAAAATTAAGAGGAGCAATTGACGAACCTCCCCTTTCCATAATGGGAAGTTGGTCCATGTGAGCAAAGGAACGTCTTTAATCTTATTGACAACCTCTGAGAGACTTACAACTAACTCAAAATAAAAGATGAAATAATATAAGTAAGGATAGTATGTGAAAAATTATGTCCTGCATGAATTTAACCCTAAGTTGGTCTTATTGAGAACAAACATGCTAATGACAGTTTACTACATCAGATTTGCACATCACTGCCGGCATCATCACTGCCGGATTTATGAGAACCGGCAGTGATGTATCTTCACTGCCGGTTATGAGCTTGAAAATGAAAAAAATGATTGGGGCTGGGCTAAAACCGGCAGTGAAGGACCACATCACTGCTGGTTCGTGGCTTGAATTGGCAGTGTTTCGGCGGGCACTCATCACTGCCGGTTTAAGGCAAGAGCCAACAGTGATTGGGCTCTATCATTGTCGGTTCTAGTCAAGAACCGACGATGATAAGCTTACAACACAAAAAGGCTGCAGCCGTCCTCTCCTTCCTCCTGTCTTCCATCCCGATAATAGAGGCGCGCGTTTGGACCCTTCCCTCCATTGTTGCGGCTGCTCTTCACCATGAAGCTAGTGCTTGGATTTTGAAGAATGGCTTGATCTTTTTGCTTTAAGGTTAGTAACAAACATCCAATCATTTGATTTTGTTGCTTAATTAGTTTCGTTTTGATGGCTACATTGCTTGATTCTCATTCTAGTTCTTTCTCCATTCTAGAGAGCACTTTTCCAATTGGACATTTGTGCAAGGCTCAAATTATTGTGAATCCATCATCCAAAAGGTTGGTGTCTATGAACACATTTAAATTCCTAGCTAATTATTCCATGGTGGTCAAGATTATCATTATTAGTATGTGATGCTATAATTAGTTCTTAGAAGTAGAGTAGAATAGTTGTTCTTCAATATTGTGCAATAATTGTTTTTACTACGATTTTCAATTTATAGGGCCGGGGCTACCAATGTCAATTTTTCAATAATTAGTGTACAATAATGTTTTCCAAAAATGGTACTTTCGAGCTACAATTGTTGTTCATGAAGCTCGATTTCTTATTAATTCTTTGTAATTACTGTCTCAATATTTTTTTGTGCAGAGATGGATCGAGAGTGGATGCATCTGTCCCGAACGGACAAGCGGTACATGCATGGCGTCAGCCAGTTTATCACTAATGCCAAAGCCCATGCTGGGAATGGAAACCCTGTCTTCTGTCCATGCAAAGATTGCAAGAATCATAGTAACTTTCGTCAAATTGGGTCCATACGATCGCACTTGATTACCAGGGGGTTCATGCCAAACTATACGATATGGACTATGCATGGCGAGGTTGGTGTGAATGTTCTGCAGGAAAACGATGATGATGTGGGCATGCCAGACGTAGCCATCCACGATGCTGACGAGGAACCCGATGTCAACACGGAACCTATGGCCATAGTTAATAATGTGTTTAGGAACACGCTAGCTAACGACACCGAGGATAACGATGACATTTCTCAACTGCTACGTAATGTAGAGACCGGATGTCTTAGTGAAAGACAGCTGAGAAAGCTAGAGAAAATGAGACAAGATGGCAAAACACCATTGTATAGGAATTGTCCAATGAACAAACTGGAAGCCGACATCATGCTGTTAGAGTTCAAATCGACAAACGGATTGAGCGATAAAGGCTTCGATCAGTTGTTAGGTATAATAAGGAAAATGCTCCCAGAAAAAAACAAGTTGCCAGAAAAGACATACTTGGCCAAGCAAATGATCTGCCCCATCGGCCTCGAGGTTGAAAAAATCCACGCGTGTTCCAATGATTGCATATTGTACCGTGGAGAAACAATACAAAGACTTAGACAAGTGCCCTAAGTGTGAACCTCCACGGTATAAGGAAGGGCCGTCAAATGAGGGTACCAAGACCAGAGGAGGTCCTGTAAAGGTCGTTTGGTATTTCCCTATAGCTCCCCCGGTGCATAGGCTGTTTGCATGTGCAAAGTTAGCCAAGTTGTTGCGCTGGCATGGCGAAGAGCGTAAGAAAGATACAATGATGAGGCACCCCGCCGATGGGCATGACTGGAGGACTGTCAATACTATATTCTATAAGGACATCAGTGGAGAGGTAAGGCACCTTTGGTTTGCTTTGAGCACAGATGGGATGAATCCTTTCGACCAGGTTAGAAGCAATCATAGCACCTGGCCAGTGACGCTCTGTATATACAACCTTCCACCTTGGGTCTGTCTGAAGCAGTCGTACATCCAGATGCCACTACTAATCCAAGGGCCAAGACAGCCTGGGAATGACATCGATGTGTTTCTGGAACCAGTGATCGATGAACTAGTGGAGATGTTTGAAAAGGGTGTGCCAGATGTTTGGGACGAGTACAAAAAGGAGCATGTCACGATCAAGGGAGTACTTATCGCTACAATCACCGACCTGCCAGGTCGAGGTTCGTTGTCCGGAGAGAAGACAAAAGGCTATACTGGATGTGTCGAGTACTTGGACGACACCGATGAGGTAAATCTGCCAAATAAGTCAAAGATAGTTTATATGGGACACCGTAGGTTCCTACCTAAGGATCACCCTTACCGCAGGAACAGAAAAGATTTCAACGGTACTATTGAGAGACGCTTAGCTCTAAAATATCGAGATGGGCCTGGGATACTTCGAGAACTCAACAAACTGGAGGTTGTCCTTGGGAAGGGGGACAATGCAGTAGCAGTGCCTGATGGGAGCGTTTGGAAGAAAAAATCGGTTTTATGAAAACTACCTTACTAGCCATTTCTGAGTGTACGCCACTGTCTTGATCCCATGCACATCACTAAAAATGTGTGCGCTAACACTCTTAACACCTTGATGGACACCGGGGGGACATCGAAGGATTCACTAGCCACATGCCTGGACATGCAACACTTGGGAATCAGGAAGGAGCTACATCCCGTGGAGCTAGAGAATGGCCAGTTCGAACTTCCGGTTGCGTCATGGACATTGAAGAAGGAAGAAAAGTGTGCGCTTATTTCTTTCTTCAATGAACTCAAAGTCCCGATGAGCTACTGTGCGAACCCGAAGAGGCTAGTGAACATGAGAGAACTCAAGTTCAACTATGGCCCTATGAAGGCCCATGACTGTCATGTCATTATGACTCAGCTGCTCCCTGTTGCCCTACGTGGTATCCTCCCCCCATAGGTCCATGCCCTAATCATAAAGCTTTGCTCGTTCTTCAACGCGATCTCAAAAAAGGTCATTGATGTGTCCACGGCAGCGGGACATAGCCGAAACTCTCGTTAGGCTTGAGATGCATTTCCCGCTGACTTACTTTGATATCTCATTGCATCTGCTCATTCATCTTGTTGACCAAATTAGAGCCCTTGGCCCAATGTACCTACATTAGATGTTTCCTTTTGAAAGATTGATGAAAGTTTTTAGGAGGTATGTTAGGAACAGATTCAGGCCAGAAGGGGGCATGGTTGAAGGATGGTCAATGGAGGAGGCCATTGAGTTATGCACATATTATCTAGACATCAAAAGGGTCAGAGTTCAAGAATCTTGTCATGAGGGAAGACTACATGGCAAAGGAACGATCGGGGAGAAATCTGTTATAGTAGATGACCCTGTTTCTTTTAGACAGGCATAGTTCACTGTTCTCCAGCAAGCCGAGGGTGTAATGCCATATATTGACGAGCATAGGCAATCGCTGCAAACTCTGTATCCGAGCAGGTCACAGGCTTGGCTGGATAAAAAACATAAGGAGGAATTTGTTAACTGGTTGCGACGTCGCTTGCTTGGAGTAAAGTTGGGTAATCAACTAGATGCCTTAGCCAAGGGACCTTCGAGTACATATCTTAAGTACCAAGAGTACGAGATCAATGGATTCACATTTTACACAAAAAAGCAAGATGGAAAGAGCACATACCAAAATTGTGGTGTTCGTTTTGATGCTCACGACGAGAACGGCAACGTGCAGGCGACATACTATGGTTTCATAGAGGAGATATGGGAGCTAGCCTATGGTCCATTGAAGGCAGCTCTTTTTCGCTGGCAGTGGGTCCGGCTCGAGGAAATCAACACTGACAGCGAAGGGTTCACTACCGTTGATCTCACTAGGACCACATACAGAGACGACCCCTTCGTCCTTGCAAGAGATGTTATGCAAGTCTTCTATGCAAGGGACAACAAGACAAAAGGAAGGCTAAAAGTAGTCCTAGAAGGGAAAAGGAAGATTGTCGGTGTCGATGGAGTGATGGACGAAGAAGACTATAGGGGCTATCAGGAAATGCCTCCATTCGGTCCCGCAAGCAAGCGAATGGTTTGCGAGCTACAATCATGCGGATGTGGTAAAATGGTCACTTATACCTAAGTTGTGGTTATTTGTTGTTTATTATTGTAATAACATTCTCTAATTTTTTTCTTTTTCTCCGCATGCAGATTGCGCTACAGGACCTTACCTATGCTGCATGTGGCTTGTGGGCCGTTCTAGACCAATCTACGGAGCAACTCGGGTACGATGGGGACTTCTGCAATGAAAACCTCGGCCAGCTTACTATAGAAGGACGCCAGTACTGCATAAGGATTACTAATAGGGACAGTGGTCGTT